GCTATAGGGGTGAGCTGAACACCAGACAGACGGGCTTTCTCTGAGACCCCCTCCAGCGATCTTAAAATGACACTGATGGCTGACACTGACACGTCAGATGGAGACGTCGCCAGCACGGGCTGCTGCCGATTCTTCGAGGGCAGCTCCTGGTTACCTGAGAGATTTTTATCTCCATAACCAGAGCCCTTCCTCCCCTCCCCCTCCCATGACCTTGTCACCACTGCAACCCCTCAGGAAGCCCCAAGCCCCATCCGTCCTGTCGCCTTGGGTGTAAACCTCAGTCATCTGTCCCTGCTTCCAGTCCCACGTTCACGGGACCCCCGTGTTCATGTGCACGGTAACACGTCGTTGGCCTTTTCCCTGTGACCTGTCTATGCTGAGTTCCCTTCAGCAGACGCAGGCCCCGCCCTTCTGGGGGAAACTTGATGTTCCTGCAGTTGCGTGTTTCCTGCCTCCCCTGAATGGAATGCAAACCCCACGAGGCCCGCGTTTTTGTTGACTTTGTTCATGGCCACCTTCCCACCTTCCCACCTTCAGGGGCCGGCACTGGGAGCGGAGTGGCTCGCTAACACTGTGCTAAGGTAGGTGATGAGATTTAAAGCGTCGCTCATTCTGGCTGAGGCAGCTCCACTCTTTAAAGCTTGCTTAGGCCAAGAACCTTGCAGACATCCTGACTCCTCTTTTTCTCTCGTCCCAAATATCCATTCCTGTTGGCTTTGCCTTCACGAGGCCCCCAGGATCGGTCTGCCTCGCACCACCTTTGCTGCGATCTGGTTCGACCACTGCCTTCTCCCAGCCGGCCCTGCTGTCTCACTCCCACCTCCACAACCTGTTCTCAGGAGGACGGCCAGAGCAATCCCTGTGTAATCAGCCAGCTGTCTTCTGCTCAAGCCTCCCCATCCCTTCCACAGTAAAAAGCAGAGCCTGGACCATGGCCTGGGAGGCTCCATTCTGTCTGACTCTGCCACTACGTCCAGCTCCAGCCTCTGCTCCCCCGCCTGCCCCTGCCTTGCCCGTCTCGGCCAGGCTGTCTCCTGCAGCGGCTCCTTCCTTGGGACCTTAGGAGGGGCTGCAACACTTGATCTTAGATAGCCACACAGCGGCACCTCTGCCAGCTCTTTGGACAAATCTCACGCTCAGTGGGGCGCCCTGACTGTCCTAGTTGAAATGCCACCCTCACCCCAAAGACTTTCTGCCTTGACTTATTTTTCTCTACCTTCCTCCACCTCCTGACCTGTGTTCCACTTGTTGGTTGGTGAAGGAAACCAAAATACACCACCCCAGAATAGACTTCTGGGACGTATTTCCAGCTGTTTATTCAGAGAAGTTGCAGATGGGATCGCTCAGAAAACCTGTCTTTGTGTGTGTGTGTGTGGGGGGGGTGGGAGGTGGATTTTGTCTGTGGAGGAAAGCTATAGGGGTGAGCTGAACACCAGACAGACGGGCTTTCTCTGAGACCCCCTCCAGCGATCTTAAAATGACACTGATGGCTGACACTGACACGTCAGATGGAGACGTCGCCAGCACGGGCTGCTGCCGATTCTTCGAGGGCAGCTCCTGGTTACCTGAGAGATTTTTATCTCCATAACCAGAGCCCTTCCTCCCCTCCCCCTCCCATGACCTTGTCACCACTGCAACCCCTCAGGAAGCCCCAAGCCCCATCCGTCCTGTCGCCTTGGGTGTAAACCTCAGTCATCTGTCCCTGCTTCCAGTCCCACGTTCACGGGACCCCCGTGTTCATGTGCACGGTAACACGTCGTTGGCCTTTTCCCTGTGACCTGTCTATGCTGAGTTCCCTTCAGCAGACGCAGGCCCCGCCCTTCTGGGGGAAACTTGATGTTCCTGCAGTTGCGTGTTTCCTGCCTCCCCTGAATGGAATGCAAACCCCACGAGGCCCGCATTTTTGTTGACTTTGTTCATGGCCACCTTCCCACCTTCCCACCTTCAGGGGCCGGCACTGGGAGCGGAGTGGCTCCCTGTGTCTCCCGACTCTTCCCAGTGGTGAAGTCATACAAGTTAGCAACATGGCCAGGAAGACGGTGCCCATTCACTTGTCTGCCCGTGCACCTGTCCGTTCACTCAGCCATCCCACGTTCCGAGGGCTTTCCCCTGGCCCCATGAAGTCGACTTTGAAATGTGAGGTGACGGCCGCCCAGAGATGCCACCTGGGGAATTTTAGTGCCGCCCTTCGTCCCTTCCTTTGGGAGCCGTCACCTCCACTGACACTGGAGGACTGGGAGGCAGGGAGGGCAGGCACCTCCCCCAGGAAGTTGCTCACAGCCCACGGTGCCCCTGGGTGGCATCGATCCCTCCCTCACCCATCAAGCTGAGGATATTACGCACGATCATCTAATTTTCTATTTGGACGAAGCCTATTGAGACAGATCGACAGGGCTGGCTGCCTGGGGTCTCACCAACGAACACCAAGGGGATAATTAGATTCAGTCAATGAATAAGCCGTATGTTTCAGCCAGGATGCTTTTCCGTGAGGCTCCACTTTCCTGACAAAGCCCCCACATCACAGAGGCCCTCGGTGGAAAGATCGGGAGTGACATTCAGCCTGTAAACGCCACTGGGTCTGATATGAGCTGGACTTTGTCCCAGAGTGCACGGGGCTGAGCAACTGCAGAATCCCCGTGAGAAACGGAAGCCCAGCACCCATCAGGCAGGACGCAGCAGAGCGATGGGGTGTGGGGGTGGAAGCTGGTGGATGCCTGGGAGAGGCAGGGATTGTCTTCACTTTGTAAGCCAGTAAATAAACTCACACACACGCACACACACACACATACAAACCTACACACACAACACATGCACACGTATACACATGTATGTATGGAAAACACATGACAACATACGTGTGTGACAGGGACCTGAACCAGCATGATGGGACACAGCCAGGGCGACTAACTCGTCCTTGTTTGCCAGGAATTTCCAGGTGCAAGCCCTGAGAGCCCCTAACAGGACACTGGCCACCCTAGATCCAGCCCCCTCAAGGTGGAGGGCTTGGCTGCCTCTCAGGTCCAGCTCCTTGATGGCCCAGAGGGCCATTCCTGCAAGCAGCGTCCCCTCGCGGGGAGTGTGTGGGCAGTGCAGGTCCCATGTGGAGTCTGTTACTTCTGACTTACTAGTCCCTGGGCTGAGATTTGTATGAGCAAAAGGCCAAAGCCAGGAGCTACCAGCAAGAGCCACGGCAATGGTGGCCACCCTTTCCCTCTGCAAGGGTAACTCGTTTCTGGGTGGGCTGGAGTTAGGGCCAGGCAGGCTATCAGACGGCGGGTCCCAAATGCTGCCGAGGGGTCAGCAGGGTGGGGAAGGAGTTGGGCAGGGAAGGGGTAAAGGAGGTGAGTGACAGATCTCCAGTGTCTACCTGAGAGGCAGAGCTGAGGCCCAAGTGGAACCTGGGTCAGTGTATAGCAGGGGGCTGGGGGCGGCCTGGGGGCTGAATGGCTGGATATGGGCCATGGGGTCCGATGGGGCTCTGGAGCTTGCGTTGGGGCCACTCTGACTCCAGTGCAGGCGAGGGCCCTTCTAGAGGCATCCCGCAGGAAGCAACGCTCTCCCCAACCTCCCTGTGCTTTCAGCTGGTGCTCTCCGGCCAGTGATGGGCTGAGTCTCACTCACGAGAGTCTGGGCCTCAGTTTCTTCATCTATAAATGAGGGAAAGAAATGTCTACCTTGCAGGGGTACTGCAGGATTAAATGAAATGATGGCACATGGTCAATCTAGCCCTAGCCACCTCTAAAGCATAGAGCACAGTAACCCATCCCCTTACAGATAAAGGCAGCTATGGTCCTTGCTGGACACATGGCATGTGGGCTGGGCCTGAATCTCCCTCTGCTCTGGCTGGGGTCAGAGCCTGTGCAGGCATAGCCCTTGGGGTCTAACTTGGGGCCTGTGTGCTCTGCTTCCCACTTGGTCTCATGTCCTCAGCCTGAGCTTCACCCAAATCTGTTTCTCCGGAGCCCTGGCCCCAACAAAAATGAGCAGCTGCAAACCTAGGGTGCTACAGGAGTGTCCTGTGGTAAATCATTCAAACTTAAAGCTGCGGGAACTTCAAATGATTGGGAACCTTGAGAGTGATGTGGCTATGTGGCCTGAGTCAAGTAGCATGGAGCTTCAGTTTCCGCTTTTCCCTGTAGACGATTAGGAAAGACAGAGTGGTGCCAGAGATGAGACCTCTCTAAAGATCATTACCCCTACTCATGGAGTGTTAAAGCAATCTTCCCTGAATTAGTAAGCTGTAACCTATTGAATTGCTACAATGCAATTACGGGCCTTGTATGGAAAATGCTGCAACACTGAGAAACTTCTCTGTTTCTGCCTCTATAAGTGAAACTTTAAATTCTCCACTTTGGAGTGCTGACCCCTTTCTTTTGGAGTCTGTGTGGCCCAGAAGGCTATCCTCAAACTTTGTGGTCAAAGAAACTCAATACTTAATCATATTTTCTAAATCTCCTTATCCCAGTGCCCAGGTGCTAGATGTGTGGCTATGACTCAGCTAGAATGGAGGACTGGGTCTCCCACTCCCTCTGCACCCCCGGCTGTCTGTCTGCCTGTCCCTCAGACACAAAAGCGCACACACACACATACACACACACACACACACACATGCACGCACACTCCTGCAGCAGGCCATGGTTTGTTTTACTTACTCCCCATCAGGTTGTCTTGGTGTGCTGCTCTGGTTTGAATGTGTCCCCTAAAGTTCATGTGTTGGGAACTCAATCCCCAGTGCAATAGTGTTGAGAGGTGGGACCTTCGAGAGGTGATTAGGTCATGAGGGCTCTGCCTTCATAAATGGATTAATATCATTATTGAAAGAATGAATTTGTTATTCATTCCAGGGTGGTTGTTGTAAAAGCAAGTTCAGTTCCATCTTGCTTTCTGTCTCTCCTGCCCTCTGTCACCATGTGCCATGTGGTGACACAGCAACAAGGCCCTCACCAGATGCCACCCCCGATCCTAGACTTCCCAGTCTCCAGAACCATGAGCCAAATACATTTCTGCTAATTATAAATTACCCAGTCTGTGGTATTTTGTTATAGCAGCATATAGCAGACTAAGCTGTGCTGATGATACATTCACAAACATGGTGTGGAAGGAGACTCCACCCTGCTTTGGTGCCTAGATCTCAGAGGCTGTAGGGCCAAGAAAGTTTCCTCTCATCTCCAGTTATGTCCCCTGGGAAGGCTGTTACACCTGTGTGCCCTCCAAGTTCTCTCTCATTCAAGCTCTGGGCATGAGGGGTGGTAGCAGGCCTGGATGGGACAGACGACTTCACTCAGGCTACGTGGTGGGAACCTCCTGACTCTCTGAGAACTGCACACAGAACTTAAGCTTACAAACAGCAAAATCTCAAAAAACTCTTCTCCCAAAAGCCCATGTCACACCTCAGCCTCCTTTAAGGAGCTGTGGGGGCCCTTTCTCCTTGCCCAGCCCCCTGGTGTTACCTTGGCCAAGGGAGGCAAAACTGTGTTCTCCAGGTAGGTCAGCAGGTGTTCCACAGCTGAAATACGCTTATTCAGCTCAAAGATCTGTAGCAGAAGGAGAGAAACAGTGGGCAGAGGACCCAGCGCACTCCCACCAGCAAGACACTGGCACCCACCACCTCAGAAGCACCAAATTCCCAAGAAGTAGAAGGAGAGCTAAGGCCACCACCCATGACATGGCCTGGGAAGGTTAACTGTGAAACCCATTTCTGACACCACGAGTTCTGGAACACCAAGCAAAATGTTAGAGCAGAACCAAGAGCAGAGAGTAGGACAGTGAAAGTGGCAGGAGAGGAGCCGAGTCCAGCAGGACAAGGAGCTGAATCTGGAAGGTTGTGATGTTGTCATTACTGTGGACAGCCGCTGTCACTGCCGGTACTGAGCAGCACAGGAAGATATCAGTTAATCACGCTACAGTGATCAAACTAGCAAGAGCCTTGGGTCACTAGTAGGCTAGGAGGCAAGGCACTTCAGGTGACAACGTAAAGCGACCAGAGGTACGACTTCCTCATCCCTTGAGTCACCAGACTCTTGAGTCACCCAAAGTCTATTAGCTCCCAGACTGAGACATGAGAAATCAATTTTCTAGTTTTTTTCCTCGCTCAGCAGATGCATCTTTCCTGCCATTATCTCATTTACAGCTCACCTGGCTTTAAAAGAGGGAAGTGGTGCTGTGGAGTGTTAAGATGCTTTTGTATTGTTTGGTTGGTAATTAGTTGAATCATCACAGCACCAAGGGCTTTGAGTGGGCAAATCTCCCCGAAGGACATGATTGGCTGAGAAATGTCAACACCAGCATTTCGGTTAGACCTCGGCCCACGCCTTGAGTGGCCACTAGTAACTGAGTCACCCTCTGGTCCTGCTGAGCATCTGCAGAAGCAGAGATCAATACCCTGGGGAGACAGCCCTGGGCACACAGCCTCTGTCTCCCGGAAGCAGTGGGCTTGGCACACATGCGGACTCAGGAGAGGGTAACAGCTCCCCAGCCAGTGCCTGACACCATCACTGGGAAATGTCACATCCAGAGTGGAAGAGAGGGGAAAATGCACATGGGGAGAAACTGGAAGCAGGAGGGAGGAGGTCGGGGTTGCGGGAAGTGGGCAGGAGCTACAGGTGGGTGGCGGTGGCAGGGAGCCAGGGAGAGGCCAGCAGGGAAGAGTGGGAAGTGAGCTCAGGGTGAGTGCACGCTGCTTTCTGACAAGGCCCTGGCTGTGTCCAGGCTCCCACACTGAGGAGGTGACCAGCATGGACACAATGAGTATGATGCAACCCCGGCTTCGGGCGTGCTGGGCCACTTTCAGATAAGCCCACATGCAGATGCAGCAGCTCCTCGGCGACTCCTGAGTGCCCAAGTGGTGTGGGGGCAAATGCAAACACACTGGAAAAATCAGACGCTCACTCTGCCTGCTGAAAATAGAGAAGAGGCCGGCTGTGGTGGCTCATGCCTGTAATCCCAGCACTTTGGGAGGCTGAGGGGGGCGGGGGCAGATCACGAGGTCAGGAGTTTGAGATCAGCCTGGCCAACATGGCGAAACCCCATCTCCACTAAAACACAAAAATTAGCCAGGCGTGGTGGCGGGTGCCTGTAATCCCAGCTACTTGGGAGGCTGAGGCAGGAGAATTGCTTGAACCTGGGAGGTGGAGGTTGCAGTGAGCTGAAATCATGCTTTTGCACTCCAGCCTGGGCATCAAGAGCAAGACTCTGACAAAAAAAAAAAAAAGAAAGAAAATAGAGAAGAGACTTCCCACTGCCCCCTTGTCTTTCAGAGCTTCTTTCTCTGCTTATTCCAAATAAATTTAAATCTTTAAAATGGCTAAAAAGCCTCTCTGCAGTCTCAAAACTCCACCTGGGAAGTGTGTTTTTGAAATGGGAACATCCCTGGAGATAACCCTAGCTCCCACTCCCCAAGAGAGGGCGAAGAGGCTAACGTGGGTGGGCACCTTGCTTCAGTTTGCAAAACTAGCTCCCCTCTTAAAGATGTGTGAGAAGGTTGCTTTTCTTCTGGTTAAAGCCAACACAGTGGTCTCTGGTTATGATGCTAGAGCGAGGATGTACACTGTGATCAAAGGCGCCATCAGGTCCTCCCACTGGTGAGGACTGGTAATGGTTTGTGCTGAGAACTGTGTAGAATGGGCTGGGCCTGCCGGGCTGCATAAGGGCTGAGAGCCCTTCCTGTCTTTGCAATCTCTCAGCGGATTGCCTGGGGCATGTGCCATACGCTGGTTTGATGCTTGTTCAAGAATAAAACTGTCTTCTTTCTCTGCTACCCTTATGGAGAGATTTTCTGGGTAATGAAAAGATTTCGGGTTTTTTAAAAAATTAAATTTCTCCAAGAGTAGCAACTGCTCTGGGGGGAGTAGCATCACTCAGACCTGAGTGTCTGACCCTGCATGGGCACCAGTTGTCAGGATTATCACTTTACTTAGATACATACGGATGGAATACTAGGTATGAACCCCTTGTGCTTTCAATTCGCAACAATACCAAAGTTTAAAGTTTACAAATGCAATACAGACACTGGCTAGGGATTAAAACAAACCAACAAAATGTGTCACTGGTGACACTTTTATGGGAGACTGTTCGTGTCTGTAGCCTGAGCACGCACGAATGGCCCCGTGGCCAGCCCTCGGGAGTGAGGGGGCGGAGGGTACGTGCCAGGGTGGTTTCCTCTCCCGTCTCCCATCTCAGCCCCCTGGAAGCTTCCTTCCTACCACACGTTTATGCCATCTTGGGCCTTGTCTGGGCTTGAGCAATATCTACAGGGAGTCTTTTCTGATTACCCCTCGTCTGGAAAGCTGTGGCTGTAAATACAAATGCAAAGGCAGGCAACGCACAGCTGCCTGACTCCTCAGAGGAGCCGTGATAAAATACGATTCCTGAGAACGCTCAGGCTCTGAGGGCATGACTGGGAGTCTTGGGGTTGATGGGCAGATTGAGAGGGCTTCCTCCTGGGGTCCCATGGCAGTCACTTCACAAACGCCCTCTAAGAGTCTGTCTGGGTTTTTTTCTCTGAAGTACAGAATCGCTGCTGCGTTTGGAGCTTCTTTCTGTTGCTTAATTTCCTCCACATAAAGATGCATGGGAAACAATCTAAGTGAAATATTAGTTGAGGTTGTGACATTAAATAATTCAAATAAAGCTGTTGGAACTTTAAATTCTAAGTCTTGAGAGGACATGTTTCATAGCTGAAACTTCTACCTTTTTTTTTTCCCCCTATAAATAATTAAGACCAAACAGGATTGGAGATAAGGGCCCCCCAGGTCACTGTTCCTCCGCAAGGATGTGATCCTGCTAACATTTCTACAGAAGTAGAACCTTCACTAGTCCACTTGGGGCCCTCTTTGTTTGGAGTCTGTGTTTCTGGGTGGCCACTGTCAAGCTTTTGTTCTGATAAACTCGATTTACTAATACTTATTTATATTTTCTGAATCTCATTATTTAGGGTTGACAAAGTAAATACAAGTTCATAGGAATAAATAAAGAGAAACAATTCCAGAGGCAGGATATACAAACATGAACTAGAGAATAATTCCAAGCAGGTATAAAAGATAATTGATTTCAGCAGGGCTGGATACCATGATACGTATTTTACTAAACGCTACTAAAGTTGCTAAACTAAAGGTTTACTGAAAATAGACAACTTGATTCTCCTCTTCATCCCATTGTCTTCAGACTAGGAAGTTAGGAGATGCTCAGCCAGCCACGGATCTGCCATGGGCCTCTACCTGGCCAGCCTGGGAGGTCTCTATCCTGGCCACACTGGGGAGGTCTCTATCCTGGCCACACTGGGGAGGTCTCTATCCTGGCCACACCCAAGAGGTCTCTATCCTTGCCACACCCAAGTGGTCTCTATCCTGGCCACAATGGGGAGGTCTCTATCCTGGCCACCCTGGGGAGGTCTCTATCCTGGCCACACTAGGGAGGTCTCTATCCTGGCCACACCCAAGTGGTCTCTATCCTGACCACACCCAAGAGGTCTCTATCCTGGCCTCACCCAAGAGGTCTCTATCCTGGCCACACCCAAGAGGTCTCTATCCTGGCCACACCCAAGAGGTCTCTATCCTGGCCACCCTGGGAGGTCTCTATCCTGGCCACCCTGGTCCTCCACTGTCCCCTGCAGCCACAGGTCCCTGGATGGACTTGGCTGAGTCGGCTCTTCCCCTTTTTTCAGAATAACTGTAGAATGTGCCAAGAAAGCCACTTTCTGATACAAGGAAGAACTGTCTGGACTGTCTAGAGCTCTAGAACTGGATATCCTTTGGCCCAGTGATCCCAGTTTCCCAGGGTATAAGACTCAGAGAGGAATGCTTTCTGGGGTCCCCCAGCTGCCGCATGACACGGGACACTTGCAGCCGAGACTCTACCCTCCCTGCAGCTTCCCTGAGCCTGGGGGACCTTGCTGCCTGTCTGTGAGTAATGAAGTTGCTCTGCCCGACTTGTGCATATTCCATGTTTCAGAACTAGATCTGCAAATGCAGGTGGTGGAGGCGTGAATGTTGCAGCACCAGGTCTGCTCTGAGTCCCTGCCAGGGCTCAGCACACCTGCAGCTTCCAAGTCCTCTTGGGACACAGAAACTGCAGGGCCCAAGCCAGTCACTCCCTGATCTGAGTGAAAGGACACTTCCTTGCATCAGGGCCTTGCTTGCTGTTACATCAAAGGAGTTCTATGCCTCAGGAACTGTGGGGCCAGTGGGTGAAGCGGCCATAAGTAGTCTCCATGCAGGCCTTCTCAGGGCCTTTCATGCCCGGCTATGCTCAGGGACAAGGGTGCTTCTTTCAGAAACTAAGTGGGCCCCCAAGGAAGTTGGTGCAGGAGAAATTTCCACCCAGGGTTGAGGAAGCTTCCAGATGACACTACAGTAAAAAGTCAGCCGAGGGCACTGACTCCGGAAACATGCTGAATTCAGAAACTGCGCACTTCTGCCCCGTGGACACTAGCCCAATTTTAGAACCCAAACCCCTGCGATTCCCCATATTGCTATGCTAGGAAAGGCTCTTTTTGAAATTCTGGTGCCTGTTTTCGGCAGATCATTTCTCTGGGTGCAGAAGCAAAGTGACAGGAGGTTGCAGGAGCTCCCCACCTATCATGCACGTGAAGGTTTGGCCCTGTGCGAACAGTCACGGGACAGATTTCCTGCTGAATGAGAGCTCAGAAAAGCCCGGGGCCCACTGCACACTTCTCCTTGCTGCCCACTCCTGAGCCAGTGCTGGTCTAGTGACTGCCACAGTGTAGGCCAAGGCCTTGGGAGAGGAATCTGCAGCCCTGTGGCTGAAGAGTTGGGTGATGCTCCATCTCAGGTACTCCTGTGCACTGAAGGGCTCGGGCACTGGAGAAGCCCTGGACCCTGCAGAGCAGCTTCTGTGTGCCCCGCCCACCTCGCCTGCCCCTTGAGAACCCCAGCTGTGCACCATCTGCCTCCCTGCTGCTTCCAGGCCTTTCCTGACAAGGCTCAGCTTTCGCTCAGCCTCCCTCCTGACAGCCCACAGGCCCAAAGGGAAGTTCTACAGAGCCATTCTCTTCCCCAGCTCTCCCAGGAGGAGGGAGGAGGGGCTCTGTACCAGCCATCACCATGCCCAAGGAGCTGGACCTACACTCATCCAGGCACCAGAAGATGTGCCTGAGATCAGCCTTGGTGAAACTGCGGTTCCCATCTCCATTCAGAGCAGCCCCACTTCCCCTTCTCTGGGTTTTGTGCCTCAAGAGTCATCAGTTACAGAACAGCCCCCATCCTGTGATTACATTGCCGGAGTCAAAGCTCTATCAGAGACATTAATAGCCTGTGTCTTTCATTGCCTTAAAGAATCTAGTGGCCATAATGCTCTCAGAAGAAACAATATTGCCTTTCCCCCAGCGACATGAACTTGCTCAAATTGAAATCAGCTAACTCAACAGAATCATCATTTAAACGCAGCGAGCGGAACTCAGAGCACTTAAATCTTGTGATGAATTATTTCATAAGCTAATGTCTACAATGTGAGTGATTCTACTAATTTAACAGGTGTTAAGTATTATGAGTGGAGTTTCTTGATGCCTATATAAAACCTGCTAAGGGGCTGGGCATGGTAGCTCACACCTGTAATCCCCATGCTTTGGGAGGCCGAGGCGGGCAGATAACTTGAGGTCAAGAGTTTGAGACCAGACTGGTCAGCCTGGTGAAACCCCATCTCTACTAAAAATACAAAATTATTCGGGCGTGGTGGTGGGTGCCTGTGATCTCAGCTACTCAGGAAGCTGAGGTGGGAGAATCGCTTGAACCCAGGAGGTGGAGGTTGCAGTGAGCCGAGATCGCTCCACTGCACTCCAGCCTGGGCAACAGAGCAACACTCTATCTGAAAAAAAAAAATAATAATACAGCCTGCTAAGGGTTTCACATAGCTGACAGGTTATTTCCTCCTCTTGTAAAATATATCATACTTGATCGAGTATAAAATATATATTTTCATGAAAAGGAATGAAGCACCCTTATGTGCTACAGCATGGATGGACCTCAGAAGCATTATGCTCGGTGAAAGGAGCTCGTGACAAAAGGCCAGATGTCCTTCTGTGAGTCCATTTACAAGAAATGTCCAGAATAGACAAATCCACTGAGACAGAAGGAAGACTGGTGATTGTCAGAGGCCGGGGACAAGGGAGACTGGGGAATAACTGCTTCATGGGTATGGGATTTTTTTTTGGGGGTGAAGTTGTTTTGGAATTAGAGAGAGGTGGTGGTTACACAACACTGTAAATGTACTGTCACTGAATTGTACACCTTAAAAGTTAATTTTTTGGCCAGGCATGGTGGCTCACGCCTGTAATGTCAGCACTTTGGGAGGCTGAGGTAGGGGGATCACCTGAGGTCTGGAGTTTGAGGCTAGCCTGGCCAACAAGGTGAAACCCCATCTCTACTAAACATGCAAAAATTAGCCAGGTATGGTGGTGCACGCCTGTATTCCTAGCTACTCAGGAGGCTGAGGAGGGAGAATCACTTGAACCCAGGAGGCGGAGGTTGCAGTGAGCTGAGATTGCACTATTGCACTGCAACCTGGGCCACAGAGGGAGACTCCGTCTTAAAAATAAATAAATAAATAAATAAATAAAAAATAAATTTTTTGAAAGACATAAGATTATTTATTTTCCCCTAAATTCCATAAAATATTCCTTTTTTCAAATTTTTAAATTATAAAATAGATACAAAATTTTACCCTTTTATCCATTTTCAAGGTATTAAGCACATTTACATTGTTGTATGACTGTCACCACTGTCCATCTCCAGAACTCCTTTCCTCATGCAAAGCGGAGACTCTGCCCATTCAACGCTGATTCGGCGTCCCCCGACCCCAGCGCCTGTTGACTACTATTCTGGTTTCTGTCTCTATGAATTTGACTAAGAACCTCAGATTAAGTGGAACCACATGGTATCTGTCCAGAATGACTGGTTTATTTCACTTAGCACAGTGTTCTCAAGGTTCATCCATGGTCTAGCATGTGTCAGCATTTCCTCCCTTTTTAGGGGTGAATAATACCCTGTGCTGAGTACACGCTGCATTTTTTTATCCATTCATCTGTCAATGGACGCTCGGGTTGCTTCCATCTTTTGGTTATTACAAATAATAATATGGATACAGGGATGCAAATATCTTTTTCAGTCCCTATTTCCAATTTTTTGGGGTGTGTACCAAGAAGTGGAATTGCTGGATCATAGGGAAACTGTATTTTTAATTTTTGGGGAATGGCCATACTAAGATGGTTAATTTTCTGTTATGTGAATTCACTTCCATAAAAAATACTGTGATGACATATCTCCATTAAGTAGGCTTGTGCAATTTCATAGTCTGAAAGTATTAAGAGCTGCAATTTCTCTAAAGTGACTTGGTGTGGAAGTAAAAAGACTTCACCCGAAGAAATGACAAGACAGAAGTCTTTCCAGCCACTGTTACCTGACTCTCAGAGGATGCCCGGCCTCGCCGCTTGGAATGATGGGAGGCCATCACGTGAGCCCGGATGCTTTCCTCATCAGAGGTGTCCACATCGGCCAAGTACTGCAGGGGCAGCTGCTCATTCCTGATGACATTTGACCCTTCGGAGCAAGAGAGTTTGAATTACTTAGAGTGAAAAGTTGAAAGCCGATGGATGTGTTTAGTCCAATGAAGAAAAATGAGAGCTCAAAGAAAATGAAGACTAATGATGTTCATGTTACGGGGCTGAGGTTCTAAAGTCACAGTAAGAATGGGGCAGATTCCACGGCCACACACAAAGATCTTCAGGAAAAAAGAGGCCCTTGCCTGGCAGTGCGGGTGGGGATAAGAGTGACATACTTTGCATGTTTGAAAAGCAAATGTAACATGATTCTCAATTTCAAATTGCAAATAACACCAGATTCCACGATGAGATCATAACTGTGTTGTTTCACGTCACATTTTAGGTTTGTGATAATTTGCTATGTAGTCAAACAGGTTCAGACATCTCATTTAATCCCTGTGACAATGGGATGAGTTAGACATTATTAACCCCTTTTGTACAATGAGGAAACTGAGGTGCACAGAGCTTAAGCAATTTGTTCTAACAGCACAGCATATCTCATTGAATCTCAGACTTTGCAGATTGGATGTTGTACTATTGAGAGACAGTGCTGCCAGTGAGACTCAAGCACACCCCTTTCTTACCACATTCACTAAGACTTTCTTCCCGCATTCACTGTAAGACACTCCCCATTTGAGAGGCTGATGTGTAAAAAGAATGTGTGTGAGAACCAGTGAAACAGACTGGCAGTGTGTGGCTCCAAACTCAGAACTGCCTAACTCCGAGGCAGCTCTCCCAGCACGATGCAGTCTCTCCTGGCCTCTCCTCAGACTGCCTCCTGTCCACGTGCTCAGAGGACTTGAGATCACAGGGGAAACAAAACTGCTGTCCAGGTCTGCATCCTATGGCTTGGCCAAAGTAGATTCATTTACTCATTATTTTGGGGGAAAGTAGAACCCTGCCTTCCTCCCAAAGCTTCCAAGGTTCCCGTCAGCATGAGGGCCATGAGATTATGGTCCCTTCAATACAATGAAGAGGGAAGCTGGAGAGTAGACAGCCTTCCTGCACGCAGCCACTCACTGTGGCCGGGGGAAGCTGGCTGCTGCTGTCATCTTACTTGCTCCTGCTCTGATGGGACATCTGAACTCCTGGACCTACGGTACACACACCCTCGGGCTACCAGAAAAGACAGAGATTTGGGGATTTCATTTCAAAGCAAAACTGACACAAAGTTAAGCCGAGCAGATTTAGGTTCTCAGCGCTTGAAGATCTCCTGATCAACAGCCTTGAGCCGACTGTGGGCCAGTGGTGGCGATGCCCAGATGCCCATCCTGCCCAGACCAGGATAGTTGGCTGGTTGACCAGTGGTTCTAGTCATTTCAGGGAGGCCTGCATGTCCCACCCCAGGCCAGCAGCAGGGAGCTGTGGGCTGGCCACCTCCTGTGCTGGAAGTTCTGAGCGTTACAGGGAAGCACACATCCCAGGGAGGGCAGGTGTCCACGGCGTTTGCTGGGACTGCACGTCCTGGACAATCACGCCAAAGGAAGAGGCCTTTCAAATCAGCCCGTGTGAAGGCATAGGTCAGGGTGTTGGGGTTGTTTCTCAGTGACCCGCTCCCCCATGCCGAGCCCATCAGGAAGACCCTGGCCAAGGGCACCTACTGAGTGCAGCAGCGGCCCCCAGGGCCATACTGTGGGAGCCTCCAGGCGGGCAGAGCTCAGCGAGGGCGCCGTGTCCAGAAGGCGAGACGCTCATCGGCTCCTCTTCTATATGGTGCTGGCACCCAGAGGCCCCAGTGTCAGCCCCGTCCAGGCCCTCAGCCTTCTGGGGGGCTGCCTTCTCTGAGCAGGACTCATCTGTGAGGGACTAAGCACATGGGGCTGTCAGCCTCCTCTGCAGGGTTTACTAGGAGGGGCCGCTGCCTGGAATGTGGGTCTTTCAATCCAGGCCCTGAGGCTTTCCAGGCACTTGACTGACCCAGCACTAGACGCCCATCCGTGCTGGCCCCTGCTACTCAGTTCTCTTTAATTTCGAAGACTGTGCGAAAGCATATATTGCCTATTTGTTGCCTACTGACTGCCTATTGCATGTGTCTGTGCAATGTTGGGGTTCCCAACGACACCCTGGGCCAGGCATGACACAAGGGGACCAAAACTCTCCTGACACAGCCTCAGGGGGCTCAGACTCACCTAGAGACCAAAGCCCTGAGGACGTGGGCAGGGAAGTTCATATTTTTGGGAGAAGGGTACACTGTTACTAACTATGTACACCTTAATCTTTGAAGATCAGAAAGGTGGGTTGGGGCTTCCTGGCAGCTCCTTGGCTGTAATCCGGACATCCCTCCAGCAGAGGGGTCTCTGTGTTATATCATTGTCCCCAAGGAGAGGAGGTGCTGAGGGCTTCAAGGAGCAATATGCCACAGCACCCTTCCAGTTTGACTGTGAGTGGGGGGTGGAGGCCAGAGGCAATGCACACTTAGGCCAGCCTCCAGTTAGAGCAGGACCTGTGGCCCAGAAACCAATTGGCTGCTGGCTTCCAGGACCCACCCTGCTTCTCCCTCCTCCTGGAGGGGTCTTCAGACTGGCCGGGGTGGACCCAGCCCTGCCCCAACTCTGGCTCAGCACTGCATGTGCCCAGGGGATGCTGGGAATGGAGTTCAGGAGTTCACTATGAAGCTGGCCCTGGGCCTGGGCCTGGCTCGGTGCCCATAGTTACCTTTACTGCCTACCTGTGAGTCTCATGCCTTCCAGGTACAGCATCTATGGTGATTAGTAATGAGTGTCAACTTGATTGGATTGAAAGATGCAAAGTATTGATCCTGGGTGTGTCTGTGAGGGGGTTGCCAAAGGAGATTCACATTTGAGTCAGTGGGCTGGGGAAGGCAGATCCACCCTTAATCGAGTGGGCACCATCGAATCAGCCGCCAGTGAATATAAAGCAGGCAGAAAAATGTGAAGCGACAAGATGGGCCTAGCCTCCCAGCCTACATCTTTCTCCCGTGCTGGATGCTTCCTGCCCTCGAACATTGGACTCCAAGTTCTTCAGTTTTGGGACTCGGACTGGCTCTCCTTGCTCCTCAGCCTGCAGACAGCCTATTGTGGGACCTCGTGATCGTGTAAGTTAATACTTAATAAACTCCCCTATGTGTGTATATATATATTCTATTAGATCTGTCCCTCTAAGAAAACCCTAATACAGCATCCTTGAAATGATCCTGTAGGGCAGAAATAATCAGCTTGACACTAGCCCTAGTAACTGACATCTTACTAGCCCTATTACTAATAATAATCGCATTTTGGCTCCCACAACTTAATATTTATATAGAAAAATCTAGCCCCTATGAATGAGGATTTGACCCAATAGCCTCTGCCCACCTCCCCTTTTCCATAAAATTCTTCCTAGTAGCCATCACATTCCTCCTGTTTGACTTAGAGATTGCTTTACTACTACCGCTGCCATGAGCCCTTCAAACAAGCCACCTGACACTAATAACCAGCACAGCCCTTATACTAGTTACCATTTTAATCCTAGGCCAAACCATATTACTTACCCGAGGCCTTCAAACACTGCTCCCAGTAGTAGTCTCTTGATGACGTCTAGCAAATCTTACTAATCTTGCCTTACCCCCTACCAGTAAGCTAGTAGGAGAACACTTTGTGACTATGGCCTCATTCTCCTGATCAAATATCACCATTATGCTTATAGGACTTAATATACTAATTACAGCCCTTTACTCCCTGTATATGCTAATCATGACACAACGAGGGACACTTGTCTATTAACAGTATTAAACCTTCCTTTACACGAGAAAATACATGAATACTTATACACCTTGTGCCTGTCTTCCTATTATCCTTAAACCCTAAAATTATTATGGGGTTTGCATGCTGTAGCTATAGTTTAACCAAAACATTAGATTGTGGATCTAACAATAGAAGCCTGCAACTTCTTACCTACCGAGAAAGTATGCAAGAACTGCTAACTCATGCCCCTATGTCTAACAACATGGCTTTGTCAGCTTTTAAAGGATTAGGTCATCCGTTGGTCTTAGGAACCAAAAACATTGGTGCAACTCCAAATAAAAATAACAAACATGAATTCTTCCCCTGCTATAACAGCCCTAATCCCCTTAATCTTACCAATTACTGTTACTTTAGCCAATCCCTGCAAAAAAGATTCATACCCAAATTACGTAAAACCATCTATTGCACGTGCCTTCATCGTTAGAGTCATCCCTACAACGACGTTTATATACACAGACCAAGAAGCTGTTATCTCACACTGACAATCCAGACTCTCAAACCCTCGCTAAGCTTCAGACTAGACCACTTCTCCACAACATTTATCCCAGCAGCACTCTTCATTACCCGATCTATTGTGGAATTCTCAATATGATATTTAAACTCAGACCTCAACATTAATCAATTTTCCAAATACTTATTTTCCTCATCACAATATTAATTCTGGTTACCACCAACAACCTCTTTCAGCTCTTTATCAGATGAGAAGGTGTAGGAATGATGCCCTTATTACTAATCGGCTGGTGGTACGGCCGAGCAGATGCTAATACCTCAGCCCTCAAGCAGTGCAGTACAACTGCATCGGCGATATTGGCTTTATTATTATTATTATTTTTTTGAGATGGAGTCTCGCTTTGTCGCCCAGGCTGGAGTGCAGTGGTGCGATCTCAGCTCACTGCAAGCTCCGCCTCCCAGGTCTACGCCATTCTCCTGCCTCAGCCTCCTGAGTAGCTGGGACTACAGGCGCCCGCCACGTCGCCCGGCTATTTTTTTTTGTATTTTTTTTAGTAGAGACGGGGTTTCACTGTGTTAGCCAGGCTGGTCTCAATCTCCTGACCTCGTGATCCGCCCATCTCGGCCTCCCAAATTGCTGGGATTACAGGCTTGAGCCACCGTGCCCGGCCGGCTTTATTTTAGCTATAGCATGGTTCCTCCTGTCCTGTAATACAGGAGAATTTCAACACATATTTATTCTAGACCCCACCCCCAACCCCTTCCATGAATTAGCGTTCTCCTTGCAGCAGTGGCAAAGTTAGCCCAGTTGGGCCTGCATCCCTGACTCCCATCCGCCATAGAAGGCCCAAGCCCATTCTCAGCCCTACTCCACTCCAGCACTGTGCTTGTAGCAGGAGTTTCCCTGCTCATCCGCTTCTACGCTTTAATAGAAAATAAGCTATCAATCCAAACCTTTACATTATGTCTGGGGGCTGTTACTACCATATTCACAGCAATCTGTGCTCTAACACAAAATGACATTAAAAAAATTGCGGCATTCTCCACCTCAAGTCAGCCAGGCCTTGTAATCGTCACAACTGGCATTAATCAGCCACACCTAGCATTCCTTCACATCTGCACCCACGCCTTTTTTAAAGCTATATTATTTTAGGTCCAGGGTCCATCATCCACAACCTCAATGATGGATGAATAAGACATCCGAAAAATGGGGCTATTGAAGACTCTACCCCTCACCTCCTCCTCCCTTGTTATTGGCAGCCTTGCACTAACAGGTATGCCTTTCCTCACAGGCTTTTACTCCAAAGACCTCAACATTGAAACCACAAGCACGTCATACACCAACGCCTGAGCCCTTTCTATTACTCTTATTGCCACCTCCTTAACAGCTGTCAATAGTACCTTTACTATTTTCTTCGCTCTAATAGGACAACCTTGCTTCACAACTCTGGTTACTATTAATGAAAATAACCCCTTCCTAATTAACTCAATTAAGCGCTTAACAATTGGCAGCATCTTTGCCAGATTCCTCATCACCAACACTATCATTCCTGCTTCATTCCCCGAAATAACCATACCACTCCACCTGAAGCTCACAGCCCTAGGTGTAAACACCTTAGGCTTCTTGCCAGCAATGGAGCTTAATCTCATAACTAATAACCTTAAACTAAAACACCCATTACGGATATTTAACTTCTCCAACATACTAGGATTTTATTCAGCCACAATTCACTGTACAACCCCCAACTCAAGCCTATTCACAAGCCAAAATCTGGCTTCACTTCTTGACCTAATTTAACTATACCAAAGACCTTTACACAAACCCAAATTTCAGCCTCCGTTACTGTATCTACTCAGAAAGGCCTAATCACTCTACTTTCTCTCTTGTTTTATCCCATCCCTTCTAATCCTACTCCTAATTATCTAATCTATTATCTTGAGTAATTTCAATCGCAACATAAATACTAACGAATAATGATCAACCAGCAACGACCACTAATGAGCACCTTGAAGAAGTTCCAGGGACAAAGGCCACACACCTAATGAGTAAGGCGGCCACATGCCACATGTCCTGTTCACCTGGACGGCCCCTGCATATGCCCTGTGTCTAGGTGTGGTCATTAATAGCAGCCGATATCACAGGACTGTCCTAGTTTGAGCGATAAAGTGTATGTTCCCCTCCCAGTAAGACGGAGATGCAGGCATCATGGCAGGCCCTGCCTGACTCCACCTCAGACACCCTTCTCTGTCCTGCCTTCCCAAGTCTCGGGGGTTCTGCCTTATTTCTGTGCCAAGCACCGATCCCTGGGCCCCAGCTCATCTGTCCAGCCTCAGGGCCCTGCATCACCCCCTGCTTCTCCAAGCTGCCTGCTCAGTATCTCCAGACATGCTAATCCTGAGGGAGTGTGAGGTCTCTGGATCCTGTCTTCCCACAAGGGTCCCCTGCCCTGTCATGCCTTGGGAGCCAGTGGGACTGTGCGGCCATCAGACACTGCTTCCAGAGTGTTGTCCCTCACCTGGGGCCTGAGCACCTGCCACCCAGGTTCCTGGGAAGAGCAGGGGAAAGACGTGAGGACTCACTGACCTGCAGGCTGTCCCTGGCCTCAAGGACTGAGGACAGGTGCAGGGAGTGACCTTGAGGCTGAGCGGAGTCATCTGAGTCTCCCTCGAAGTCGAAGTCTTGGATGGAGAGGAGGCGCTTTTTCTCAGCAGGCACAAGACAGGACAAGACTCAAGTCAGGGCTAGCTTGAGGGAGAGGACCAAACACCCCGCACCTCCCCAAACCCATACTCTGCCCCCAGGGTGGTGGGGCAGGCTCCTCTTCCAGCACATCCACCTCCTCCACTAGGAACGAACCTGACCGAGCCTAGAGGGGGAGATGGTGGGAGGACTGGTTGGTGCTCACGGTGCCCATCCCACCCAGGACATGGGATCTGCATCTCCAGAACCTTGGCTGAGCAGAAGGAACACTGAGTTGAACCCCTGCCCTTGCCCCAGGGGCCCCACCTGGGGGGCATGCAAGCTGTTCCAGGGCTAGGAGAGGGGAGGGTCCCTGGGGCTTCGGGAAAGGGGGGCGCGATGGCTGAGAGAGGCAGAGGTGGGCAAGCTCCTGAGAGTTCCTTGTTCTTTAGATGCAAGAGCCTGCATTTAGCTCTAAACCCCTATTTCGTTATAATTCTTTTGATTCTTTAAACTGCTCTATCATGTAGGGAATACTCTAGGCACTGGAGAGCATTCTGGGAGCTTCATAAATAGCATGAATCAAATGTTCTCAAACGAAAGAGGATGACATTCCCCTCACAGCAGCCGCAAAAACCTTGTTCATGTTGCATGTCACTGGCCCATTTCTCTCCAAGCGTCTAGGTCTGAACCCCTGCTCACCTACCCAGTCCCTTCTTCCAGCTGCTCCCGCTTCCTGCATCCCACCCCAAAGCCCAGGGGTTACCTTGCTTGTCTCGCCCACCCAAAATAAGTTAAATAATACTTGAAAACAGAAACACAAGGCTCATGGTTGACCAAAACAAACAAACAAACAAAAAACAGAAGGAGAAAAGCTCTCAGAGGAGAGCCTGAGGGGTCCACTTTTCTGAAAGTTGCAAAGGCAGCTGCTTTCAGGACCCCTGAGAGTGCTTCGGGACCTCTGCCTGCCCGACAGCCACACACTCAGCAGGGTTTGCCTATCCCACACATTGCTTTTGAGGTTTCTAATGGTGGAAGCACTGCTCCTGCTTGGTGCCCAATGATCTCAGAGACTACTGAGGGCTGGGAAAGGGCAGCAGATTCCTGGTGCTCACGCAGTAGGAACTAGTGGAGTTGTGGAGAGGCCATCGAGCTTTTCAGGAAATCAGAACCTGACGTTCCAGCTGCGGGGTGGAATTGAGTTGGCTGAGGAGGGGGTGACTGGAGATGACTTACTTTGTTGCCAAAGGGCTGGGCCTGGGCCTCTGAGTCCAGTTCTCCTTCCTCATCTGTCTGCTCGCTGTCTCCACTTCTCTCTTCAGAGATTGACTCAGGCCCAGCTGCAATAGATACCTGCATGACTCCACCCAAGGACAAACAGTCTGGGAGCATGCCATTTGTCAGTCCATCCACTCACTCATCCACTAAACCATCCATCTATCTACCCATACCTCCATCCTTCATCCATTCACCCACCTATCCACCCAGCAATGTATACCTCCATCTACCCATCTACCAATTCATCCACCCCCCTGTCTATTCATCAATCTATTCATCTATTCACCTACCCACCCACCCATTTATCCACTCATCCACCCACTCAATAGGCAGCCCATCCATCCATGCATCCATCCATGCATCAATCCATCCACCCATCCACACACCTACCTATCTATCCTCCACCCATCTATTCATCTACCCATCCACCCACTCAATCAGTGGCCCATCCATCCATGTATTAATCCATCCTTCCGTCCATTCATCCATCCATCCATCCATCCATCCATCCATCCATCCATCCATCCATGCCTCCCTCCCTCCCTCCTTCATCCACCCACTCATCATCAATCCATCTATACATCCATCTACCCAATCAATCAGTGGCTCATCCACTCACCGACCCATCCATCCCTCCCTCCTTCATCCACATACCCACCCATCAATTGATTTATCCATCTATCCACTCAATCAATCAGTAGCCTATCTATCCATCTACCTACTCATCCACCTATCCATCTACCCAATTATCTACCTACCCATCTACCCACTTATCCACCTGCCCATCTGCCCATCCACCTACCTATCCATTTATTCATCCATCCATCTACGTACCACCCATCCTTCTCTCTTTCATTCATCTACCCATCCATCCAGTTGCACACCCATCCACCCGACATCTATCTATCCATCCATTCATCATCTATCTATCAATTCACCCATCCAGTTACTTATCTATCCATCCACCCATTCATCCATCCTCCATCCATCCATCCATTCACTTACTTATCCATCTACCCATCCATCCAGTTGCTCACCCATCCACCCAGACATCTATCTATCCATCCATTCATCATCTATCTATCAATTCACCCATCCAGTTACTTATCTATCCATCCACCTATCCATCCATCCTCCATCCATCCATTCACTTACTTATCCATCCATCCATCCATCCATCCATCCATGCATCCACCCATCTACCCACTCATTCACCTACCCATCCACCCCTCCACCTGCCTATCCATCCATTCATCTATCCATCCACCCACCACTCATCCCTCCCTCCTTTATCCATCTACCTGTTCACCCAGCTGCCTACCCATCCACCCACCAATGCATTCATTCACTCAGACATCTATTTATCCATCCACTCAGACATCTATCCATCTATCCACCCATCCACTTATCTATCTATCTATCTATCTATCTATCTATCTATCTATCTATCTATCTATCTCTATCCATCCATCCATCCAGTCATCCACCTATCCACTCACCCACCCATCCATCCATTGACCCACCTACCACCTTATCTGCCCATCCATCTACCTATCTATCCACCCATCCACTTACTTATCCATCCATCCATCCATCCATCCATCCATCCATCCATCTGCCCATCCATCCATCCATCCATCCATCCATCCATCCATCCACTCACCTACCACTTTAGCTGCCCTTCCTTCCTTCCTTCCTTCCTTCCTTCCTTCCTTCCTTCCATCCTACCATCCATCTGTCCTTCTATCCATCCATCCATCCATCCATCTATCCATCCATCCATCCATCCATTCATCTCTCCCTCTCCCCACAATCCATCCACTCACTGAGAAACATCCAGGGAAGGCTCTCTGCTGGCCTTTCATAGACCTATCGAAACATCACTTGGAGCTGGTCTGAATTACAGTGTAAAAATCAGTACTCTGCATCAACGTTACCAATCAATTGCCAGTGTTACCAATCAACATTACCAACAGGTCTGACCATGTCTGCAGGATTGTGCTTATTGGGCAGCAGGAAGACCCTGGAGCTGTGGAGTGTGAGTGAGGCCTAGAGCTAAGTCATGTTCTCCCAAACACATGGCTTCACCTGCAGGCTCATAGCATTTGCTGGTCAGCAGGCCTGACCTCATCACTGCAGGGAGGGAGGTGAGGCTCAGCCCTCATGCCTCCACTCCTTTCTCTGCCCCCCAGGACTCCTTCCCCACACTGAGCTCCTGGGCCTGGTCTCCCTAGACCCACCATCTCTCCCTGCTTTCTCCTACACACCTTGGCTTGGCCTGTGCTGTGACTGTGGCAAGTGATTCAGGAAAGGGACTCCAGGGATTAGAGCTAGCAGGCCCCGTGGACCATTCACCTTTCTACTCCAGGGGCTGCTGAGGGCACAGCTAGCACTGTGGAGGTCAGATCCTCTGGGCTCAGCCAGGCCTTGCTGCCCTTGCACACCCTTGCCCTGGGGCCTGCACTTTGCTCTCTGTGCCTCAGGGGTCACAGGTGTGAACAAGCAGGCATTGGTGCATTGGAGTATGCACTGTCAACTGCAAAGGGGAGCAGGACTGTGGGTACAGGGCCTGGGGTGGCCTCAGAGCCACCTTCGCTTTGCTCTGTGACGTGGGAGCTGGCCCTGCACACTGCACCTCTGCCTTGTCTGCTGCTCCATGAGGGCTCGGCCTGCAGTGAGTGGGAGTGGGAAAAGGAAGGAGAAGGAATGTTCCCCTTCCTGTGGTTTCCAGCCCTATGCCCTTGACCCTGACAGCTAGTCCAGCTTCATCACAGCCCCTGAGACAAGGGCACTAGCTGGTGGCACCCTCGCCTTGGAGGGCTGTGTTCCATCCCTGGGTGGCCTCCTTGGAGCTGCCTGTTTCTATTAATCCCAGCCTCCGCCCTTTGCTCACACCTCTGGTGGTTGTGGGGGATGCAGGCACTCCTGCAGTTATGACCTCTGATACCTCAGTATCTCCTTTTCCCATTCTCCGTTAACAGCATTTGAACCAGTTCCTTACATGAAATGACTGTGTGGTTTCTGTTTTAGACATTTCCCCAACTGGCCCACCTGTGATCCCCGCAGCTCCTATCTTCATCTCTTGGGCCTGGGGCCCCTTTGCAGGAAGTTCCTCCCTTGTGGCTTTCAGTTTCAGAGGCACAAGTGTCCCTATTTGCTGGACTGGCTATGCTGACCGTCCCCCCCAAGTGGGGACTGTCCCCAAGTGTGGAAGAGGGCCTGGCTCTTCCACCGCCCTACCCTCAGGACAGCCCAGGACCTGGCACCTGGCGAGCATTCAGTGGATGTGCTGAATCAATCACCGACGCATCTTCCAAAGCCTCCCACGAGATGGAGACCTCACTGTGCACCTCCCTTCATCCACCCCCGAATGCCGTACACCCTCCTCCGCGATGTCCACACCAGCTTACAGTTCTACCATCAACTGGGCCTTGGGTGGCTCTAGGTTCTCAGGCTCTGTCCTGAGCCAGCAGGGATCTTTTATATGGGTTGGAAAATTCAGTCTCATTGTCCAGTTTTCCATTTATAATACAGAGATAGAAACAGTCAACCAACCGGCAAAACTGAAATCTGAACGAAGGACTTTATAACAAACAGCTGAGATCAGGTGTCAAGCACACGCTGTCACTGCCTGTCCTGCCTGAAGCTGCCACTGCCATTCGCCGCTTTGCTGCCTATTTAGGAATGTCTGGGAAGATGCTGGGGTGAGTCAAGGGGACCAGCAGCTTGCCTGGGCTCAGCCGGCCTCAATTTCCCCAGTGGAAGGAGAGATGGGAGAGGCAGCCTGGTGTATTCTTTAACTTGAATCTTTCTCTTAAAGATAAAAGCTATCAAGGGTTTTAAAGGGGCCCACAGGTGCCCGTGTCTGAGCTCTGGCAGGTCTATTTTTATACACTCAGCGGATGACTGGCTGGCTGGCAATGCTTTTGGGGCTCAGAAAACAGTGCCCCCAAATGAGGGCCTTCGCAGCAGCCTCAGAAGCAAGTTTCTCTCTGACCTTCTCCTGCCCTCTTGTCTCCCAGGCCCATTCTCCCCCAAGGCCAGCATAGAAACTAGAATCCCTCTTCCACAAGGCAGGACATAGAAACCAGTATCCCTTTCTCCCAAAGTCAGCCAAAAAACATGCAAATACCACTCTGACTTTCTCTCTACTTTCTATGTAAAATCTAGCCATAAAGAAATTATCTGGCTGGGCATGTGTGGCTCATGCTTGTAATCCCAGCACTTTGGGAGGTTGAAGTGGGAGGACTGCTTGAACCCAGGAGTTCAAAACCAGCTTGGGCAATATAGTGAGACCTCATCTCTAAAATAAATAAATAAATAAATAAATAAATAAACGATCTGACCTTCCTGGTTTGACTTTAGGTCATAAGCCCCCCACTCCAGAGAGGGTCCCGCCTATTCCTGGAGGGAGAAAGGCCAAGAAGAACGTAGACAAACAGGCCTTGCTGGGTTCCCTACTCAGCCTATCAGCAGTAGGTCTGGCCTTGTATAATCCCTTTCCACACGCTGTCCATCCTTTCTTGAACCCAAGCATAAAAATGGACAATTTCCCTGCATCTGTGGGTCTGCATTCTGAAGGCTCCCACGTATACACGGTGAACACATTTCTATGTTTTTTGTCCAACGAATCTGCCTTTTACGAGATGATTTTTCAGTGAACTTTCAGAAGGTCAAGGTTTTTGGCTCCAAACGTGCCCAGATGACAGTGCCAGAGAGCAGACCTGGTTTTAGTTTTGTTCTCTCTGGACAAGTGAGTGCCTTGAGGAGATGCATCTCAAACCAACAGGCAGAGGCCCCAAGACGTGAACTCCCCCTGCACTCAGGGATGTGGAAATGGGCTTTCCGGGGCCTGGGGACCCACCTGTCAGGGTGATGTCCCCGGTCCCCACGATGAACGTGAAGAGGAAGTATCCCGGCATCTCAGGGGTCCTTTTAGTGTTGATCCCTTTTGTCACTCTGCACTTGGGCCAGGAGTTTGGGTGACGTTATCCTACCTATCTGATCAAGTCATGCAAAAAAAAAAAAAAAAAAATCCAAAAGATCTTCCATGTTCCTGACACAGAACAGAGATTTTCTGACCACTCTTGATAGGGAGGAGAAAACAAAAATAAAACCACATGAGTATAAAGAACTTAGTGTTGACGTCAGGCGAGGTCTGCACTGTCAGGCAAAGCCACCACCGAGGGAAACGGAAAGGCACTGGGAGGGAAGGCAGCAGGGTGGGGGAACTGCGTGCTCAGTGACCAGTCTAGGGCTTTTCCCCTTCCTCTCCTGGCCATCGGCCGTCGAGGCTGCCTCCTGCAGAGCCTGCCAGGTCCCCTATGGAAGGCCTTGGTGAAACACCCAGCACTCTGAAGGTTCACTCAGTGAAGACCCCCAGTGGCTCACTTACTAGCTGGACAAGGTCTGCATTAGGCCCTAGCTGGGCCAGGTTTCAAAACATTAACCTCAAGCTTTTTTACCCTATTTTTTTTTTTTTTAAAGGCACAGCTTTCCTAGTTTTTGTGTTCCTTGCTTGCGCCCTGTTTTAATGTTGTAGTTACAGGCGCCCAGCAGGGAGGAACGCAGCCCCTGTGGGCGCTTGGGGGAGCTGCTAGGAATCCAAGTTCAAGGAACAGCTGTTTTCTGTTTTCTGTTGCCCCACAGCGCCACCTCCTGGCCCTTGGTGGTGATGATTTTGAAGTCGGCAGGTTCTGACGGGCCGTGTGAAGTCCAGCAGCTCTGGGCTGAGCTGTTGAAACACTGCATTCTTTGAAATAATACAGCTTCCTGAGCCCACCCCAGTCCCTAAAGACTGCCTCTGGGGTTGACATTCTCAGATGCTTGACAGCATGGCTTTTCCCGGTGTTACGTGTCATTTCTATCCTTATGCCTGGTAGGGGTGGACTGGAGGCTGGACCAAGCTCTATCCGCTGCAGGAGGACCCTATGGTGGGCTCCAGGCTGGCCGTGTGCATGTGGGAGGTAGGATTTGCTGCTGGGTTTCATGATCACTGTGAAGAAGCAGCCCAGGAATAGGGTGACGGCCTGTCCCCATGTCATCGGCCATTCCTAGTCACATCTATTGTTGCAGCATGTTATTAGTAGAGCCTCCTTTTACTCTTAAAAATGCCCTGGTTTGGGTGATTTATCACACCTGCCCCCACCCTCACCCCCACCACTCAAGAAGTGCAGCCACCCTGTGCTGCTCAGCGTGCTGCTCCAGGGGTGCCTCTCCGTGGCCTCTGCCCTAAATTAAACGATGTGCTAAGATGCCTTGAAATGCCTGCGGCAGGCCCAGCGAGAGCTTGAGTGCTCAAAGGGTATATATGCCAACTTCTGCCTCTCCAATCAAACTTGGGGCTTTAAGGGACATGCACGAATAAGGTGTCTCTCCAGAAAGAAGGCCTGGGGGAGACGCCTGGGCTGGGGCATGGTAAGGACGCCCCAATCCAGAAGCACAGCCTCTGCCCTGGATGTGCCCAGCTGCTGGAGCCAGGCAGCTGCCTCGTGACCCTGGAGAAACTCGCCTTGCAGATGGAGTCATCCAGGACACTGAGACCCCAGACACCTGGCTTGGTGGGGGCTGTCCCCCCGAATGCTTGACCAGGCTTAGTGACAAGAGCCTTGGACTCAGGTAACAGGGACAAGGTGAACTTTCTCAAAAACACTGTTGGTTTAGCTCCCTTCAAACTCAAACGCAGAAGAGCCTCTGGCATCCTCCCACCCTCCCCGTGAAAACATCTCTTCCAAATGCCTTATGAGGGATATTACAGGCAAACAGATTGTTTAGTTTAAGACGACTGCCTGGATTTCAAAGTCATTGTGAAATAAATACTTGGATTCAAAAGACGAAAACAACTGAATTGTAACAGATTTCTCTGAATCCTGATAATCACCATTCATGGGAAATGTTTGTTGAAAAGAGAGTCTAGGCCCCAAAGCAGATGTCCCAGGGAAGAAGGGCTTGGAAAACCTGTAGTATTAACAAGCACCCTGGTGATTCAATCAGCAGCTGGGTTTCAGAAACTTGGCTTTGAGTTCTCAACTTACTTTGAAGATTTGAAAACAATATAATTTCAAATATTGGCAACTTCAACAGCACCCAGGACTTCTGAGGCACTCAGACCAGGCCAGTGGGATGCAGAGGTTTGCACCTCACATAAAAAGGAGCCAATTTCACAGGGCGCAGTGACTCACGCCTATAACCCCAGCACTTCGGGAGGCCGAGGTGGGTGGATTGCTTGAGCCCAGGGGTTTGAGGCCAGCCTGGGCAACATGGTGAGACGCCTGTCTCTACAAACATTCAATTAAAAAAAACAGCAGCAGAAGAGACAGAGAGGCATGCGCACGCACACACACGTGCACACACATACGCACACACATACATACACACACACGCACACTCCAAAGGAACCTGCTTTAATATTCCTAAAATGCCTGGGAACTAAAAGCCCTTCCCACTGTCCACTGCTTACCTCCACCCTGCAGCCGCCCATGGAGGGACCGGATCACTTTGGCACTTCCGAACCTCTTGAAGCGGGCTCTCACGTGCTCGTAGTACCACTCCAGTGAGCCGATCTTCACGACTCTGCAGTGACAAGCACAGGCGCGTGGCACTGCCTAAGTGCTGAACACAGGTCTGCATAAATAACACACACACATGCACACACACAAAGCGTGCACGTGTGTGCATCCACCCTTCTTCAGCGAGCCTCACCGAAGGGACACGCCAGATCCAGAAACTATCAAGATCATTTTACCTCAAGGCCTGGGCTCACCTGGCCAGATGGCAGGGGTCACAGATCCAGCCCTGCTCCTCCGGGTGGACGCGGCCACAGCTTTTGCAGGTGAAGCGGCCACATTCCAGGCACTGTCTTTTGCTGTTCACAAGCAGCCGGTAGGGCTGCAGGCAGTGGGTGCAGCGGGTCTCGTTCAGATGGGCAGTGTCGGAAAGCAGCTCCCTCTTGGAGCTTTCCTTCTTAATCTTGCCCTTCAACCCCCTTGGAAAAATATCAGAAACAAGAAATATATTGGGCATCTTGTTTTTGCCACAGGCTTTAAGTGTGTACATGTACATACACACACACACAGACACAGACACAGACACACACACAGTAAACGTCTCCTATGCAGAAAACAGTGACCCAAAGTTGGGCAAAGGCACACAGGCATCTTTGTGTTGAGGGCTGAGCTCAAACGGGCAATTTTGGTAGGCTGGAATGGAATGGAATGGAAACACGTTAATTTCATAGAAATGACATTGCATTCAAGCATTTCTGTGGCTGTTTACAATTGTACCAATTTTGGTTGGCAGGTCACTGCACCCTCCCCAGGGCGGTCACAGAGTCCTGAGGGCAAAGCCAGATGGTGTTTCCTGATCAAGCATTTTTGGGTCTCTCCCAGCAGGGGGCAAGAGTTGAGCTCCCCCAGAGCGCGACTGAAACGGCTCGGTGTTTCCAGAGCAGGAATCATCCAGCGCCCAGAAGTCTCAGGAAAACTACAGTTCTCCTAGACCATCTGAGTTTAACTGACACAGCTTCCTGGTGAACCTGCCAAGTTGAACTGATTGGAAAATGTACCCTTAGATGATAATGAACACATTTCTTTTGTTCTAGAGTTCAGAGAATGTCTGCCAAACGTAATATTTTCAGTTTCAGATGAGGTAAAATTAATCCATTCTTAGTGACACAAACAAGAAGGACACTAGATGCCATTGTCTCCAGAGAACTCTGAAGTGCACTGATTTGGATGGGGACACCCAGAGTGTGGCAAAGGTGAAGAGACTGGAGAGTCCCACAAGGCAGTGGGAGGCCACCTCCGGTTTCAAGTGCAATTGGCTGAACTTCACTGATTTTCCTCTCTCAACTATTTACAAAAATATTCACTGAGATGGACACAAAATCAGGCTCTCGTCATAGCTTCAAAAACCAAGAGAAAAAGCATCAAGCAGTTGTAGGAATCTAGGGGGATACCGCCATCCACAGACTACAGTTTAGATAAAGCTGCACTGACAAGGTAAAGTCTTTGCCCCAAACAGAGGAGCACAAGTCCCTGGAACCAGATGGGAAGGGCCTCACCCCCTCCATTTCCACTCTTGCCAGCTCTGCACTAACTAGAAAACCTGGAGGCCACCCCTTCGCCGGACAGGGCTTGTCCAGCCTGTGTCCCAGGGAGTAGCTCTTCTTCTGTATCCAGGCAGAACGATACCCCGAGGCCCAGCACAGCAGGAAGAAAGACAAGGACATGTGCGCTGCCCTGCATCCCAGGCCGGAGGAGTCCTCTTAAATAAGAGCCCAGAAGTGTCCTGGGGCAGCAGCTGGAGGTTGATATATTTCCGGGGCCGAAATTGGGGAAAAGGATAACTGTACTGTGCTTTAGATTCTTTAAAACATAACTTCCCTTCTTCATAGCCAGAGACCAGGAAGGGAGGGCAGAGAAGACTCCATTTGGGGAGGCCAGATGACACCTGCCAGCCACTCCAGGACGTATCAACCAGACCCAGAGCTTCAGATGCTGAGGGGTGAATGGGGCCGGAGCACTCCATGCCCTCTGTTTATTGGGTTGACCAGAAGTCACTCCTCAACAGGCAAAAGCCAGGCACGTGGCTCCAAGTTAAAGTTAGCTTCAGGAATAAAAGACCCTCCTGAATGTGACTTACCATCAGAAACAGACTTGAAACAAGTCAGCTTGGCGTGCTGAATGGGGCATAAGCAAGTACGTATAGTCTCAACGAGAGGGACAGAGGAGACATGGGAGGAAATCAGGCTGAGACGGGAGCACCACCGGCTATGCTGGTGGAGATGGAGAAGAACCGGTTAAGACGGAGACGGCGAGGAATCACAACCCACAATGGAGGGGGCAATGGGCACAACTTCTACCGTGGAATATTAGATTCCATGATTTCCAATGGTGGTCTTCAAAGTGTGGTCCAGGGGCCTCTCCTCTGGAGGTTCCTAAGATCCTTTAGGGGGCGGGTCACAAGGGCAAGGCTATTTTTGTAATAATGCTAAGACATCATTTGCCTTTTCTTTGCCCTTCGACGCCTGCACTGAAGGTGTAAAAACAATGGTGGATAAACTGCTGGGGCTTTAGCACGAGTCAGGGCAGTGGGCCCGACGGCACTGGCAGTCACTGTATCCTTCATCAAAAAAGAAAGGAGCTGGGCGCAGTGGCTCATGCCTGTAATCCCATCACTTTGGGAGGTCGAGGCAGGCGGATCACCTGAGGTCAGGAGTTCAAGACCAGCTGGCCAACATGGTGAAACCCCGTCTCTACTAAAAACACAAAAATTAGCCAGGCACAGTGGTGCACCCCTGTAATCCCTGCTACTCGGGAGGCTGAGGCAGGAGAGTTGCTGGAACCAGGGAAGCAGAGGTTGCAGTGAGCCGAGATTGTACTACTGCACTCCAGGCTGGGTGACAGAGCGAGACTCTGTCTCAAAAAAAAGAAAAAAAAAAAAAAAAAAAAAAAAAAAAAAAAAAAAAAAGAAAAAGAAATGAGAAGAAAAAACAGTTGCATTTAAGAATCACCTTGATGAAACACTAAAAGTTATGAGTCTTTTTGAACTGTGGCCCCCGTCCATGTCTTTTGAGTATTCTGCGTGATGAGCTTGGAGGAGGACGGGATTGGAGGAGGACGGGATTGGAGCTGCATGTTGAAGGTGACAGATATTTCTATCAACGGGTTTGGGCAATTGTTCAGATTGCAACCTGAGCTAGAAACTTTTCTTATGAAATACCATTTTCACTTGAGAGAACAACAGGGAGATGAACTGTTTCGACTTGGGTGCGTGGCAGATATTTTCTCAAAAATGAACAAAGTGCGACTCTCACTTCAAGAAAAAGAAGTGACAGTATTTACTGCCAGTAATGAAACGGAAGCTTTCAAGCACAAAGTAGAATTTTGGAAAACATATATCGCCTGCTGTGAGCTTGACAGTTTCCAACACCAGGAGACTTTTGATGAGATCGCTGGTGAGAGTGGTTCTCTTTTGGGATGCATATGAAATGTGTCAACATTTGAGAAGTCTGCATAACTCAGTGAGCCAGAGTCTTCCAAATGATTAATGCACGGTGTTGCAAAAATCACACAGGGGTAGAAAATCCACCTCAAGTGCAAGAAAGACCAATGGATTTTAACAAACAGGAAAGGAAAAATTCATTAATGTGGTTTCAGATTCCACATCACAACTAACCTTTAAGAGACTACCAACTGTCTGAGCACGGTGGCTCACGCCTGTAATTCCAGCAGTTTGGGAGGCCGAGGCAGGTGGATGACCTGAGGTCAGGAGCTCAAGACTAGCCTGGCCAACATGGTGAAACCCTGTCTCTACTAAAAATGCAAAAATTAGTGAGGCATGGTGGCACGCACCTGTAGTGACAGCTACTCAGGAGGCTGAGGCAGGAGAATCACTTGAACGTGGGAGGCAGAGGTTGCAGTGAGCTGAGATTGCACCACTACACTCCATCCTGGGTGGCAGAGCGAGACTTTGCCTCAAAAAAAAAAAAAAAAAAAAAAAAAAAATCCAACAACAACAAAAAACTACCAACTCCAACTGCCGGGTTTTCATGCTGTAACAACACATAATGTTAATTATCGTCTGCGAAGGCTAACACTCATTTTTTCAATTATATATCTGTGTGAGCCTAGATTTTCTTCAAATACTACAGCCCAGACAATGTGTTATCACCCACTGAATGCAGAAGCAAGTAGAGAATTCAGCTGTCTTCTATTGTTCCAGATAAGGGAGGAAACCACCCCTCACATTGTCTTATGCCCAATTTCTGCCTCTGAAGAAAAAAGAAGTAAAAACTAAAAGGCAGAAATGAAATCCACAGGCAGAGAGCCTGGTGCCACACCCTCAGCCTGGTAGTTACAGATCAACTCCTGACCTAATCGGTTATGTTATCTAGAGATTTCAGACATTGTATGGAAAAGCACTGTGAAAATCCCTGTCTTGTTCTGTTCCATTCTAATGACAGGTGCAGGTGCATGCAGTCCCCAGTCATGTACCCCCTGCTTGCTCAATCGATCACAACCCTCTCACACAGACCCCCTTAGAGTTGTGAGCCCTTAAAAGGGGCAGGAATTGCTCGCTCGGGGAGCTCGGTTTTTGGAGACGTGAGTCTGCCAATGCTCCCAGCTGAATAAAGCCCTTTCCTTCTACCATTTGGTGTCTAAGGGGTTCTTGTCTGCAGCTTGTCCTGCTACACAGACATTAAAGAGATTTGCAAAAACAGAACAACACCACTGACCTGATTCACGCTCTTATTTTGGGAAAGTCTCATTTTTTATAAAAACTATATTTATGTTAACATATAGGGGGTTTACAGTTATTTTAAATGAGTGAATAAATAAATATTTTTAACTCCTAGTTTTAATTTCTGATGTGGTAAATATTAATAGATACGATTCATGTGAATAAAACTCTTTGGGGTTCTCACTAATTTAGGAAATGTGAAGGGGTCCTGAGGCCCAAAGGTTTGAGAACCGCTGATTTCGAAGTCAAGTTTGCTCCCCCTCCCAGAATGCGGAGAAAAGGGACTAAGCAATGGGAGAGAGCGGGGAGATGATGGCAAAGGCAGAGAAAGTGAGCCCCTGGTGGAGACAGAGCCCTGGAGACGGGGATGCGTGGGGTGGAAGGGAAGTGCTGTCCTTGTCCTCAGGGCAGGGGACCCACACTACTGTCCTCTGCAGTCCCACCTCCGGGGGGCCCTGGGACATGCAGCCAGAGCTGTGACTGGTGGGGCAGAACAGAGCCGACGGGAGACTCCTGTCCTCAAGGGAGGCCCAGCAGCCTCTGAGGAAAGGGCGCATACAAGGGAAGAAAAACGCTTCCAGGACGAGACGGGGAAGGAAAGCCCACTTCTATGATGGGGTCTGGACAAGCGAGGCGAGCCAAGCAGCGTGAAGGGGTCAGACCTGTGCCCTGCTCTGCCCCTCTTGGGGTGGAATCCAGACAGGGGTGTGGTGGCAACATGCAGGAATACTGGAGAGAGCC